AGTTGCAAGATGCCTCAACAGCCTCAACGAAGACCCAGCTAGCGAAACACTGTGTGAACGACCATAGAACTTATTAAGGTCACCTTCAAGTAACAAGAAAAAAAGCAAACTGAACACATAACACATACAACCTGTTTTTCTTTGATGTGATAATTCAGCAGAATCCTGCGTTACATGCGGTTACATTCTGATTTATCTACTTTATTTATTACATTTTCTCTCACGTTCTTAAGGAGTAACTGGTAAGCAGGTGGCTTTGTTAAACACTATGAAAAGGAGCAAAAATGATACAGTAACAGTATAATGGGCTTTCGAAGCCGGAAAGTCAGAGAAGCCTGGAAATTTCACAAGTCTTGCGTTTTTGCTCACTTCGCATAACCTTTCTTTACCACTCCATTTTCGGTTTTTCCTTTCTTGAAACGCATACTTCTGGTGCGATAAGGGTCTCAGGTGTTGCGAAAGGTAGCTGACCACATCTCTGTGGCTGAACCCCATAATTCCAGCACTTACGTCTATTTTGCTGTCGTATGCGGATACTTCGTTCAATCATCGTTGCAAGCTACTCTCTACATTTGCATCCATGTGTCGCTAGCTTTTATGGCTTCTTGGTCGCTACTGACTGCTTTCTTCCTAAACGTAAAAAGAATCCCACCAAATTGGGCGGTGAGCAAGAGATCCTGCTGTTTTTAATCTGAATTTCATGATACAGGTGCCTGCGGAAGTCGACGAGAACCTGAAAAGTTGCACACCTTTTGAAAATGGACGGTATGTAGTTGACAAATCTACACCAGAACAGGCTAGTAGAAGTGCAGCTGTTAATTTGAATCAAGCTAAGGTCTTTCAGACAGTCCAGCAGCATCGCATACTAACAAGGGCTGCTGCAGATCTTGGAGTAGTGCAAGCTGAGTGCGACCAAGCGGGCAGAAATAAGTGAGCTGAAAATCTTGATAATGCTTGCCATAGCGTAATTTGCAGATATTGTTATATTTGTAAAACCTTGAAGCCGGATAGATCGCATCATTGTTCGTCTTGTGGAAAATGTGTAATCAAATTTGATCATCACTGTCCATGGATAAATCAATGCGTTAATTACGCTAACTACAAACCATTTCTGCTATATATTTTATACAGCACCATAACTGTGGCTTGGTAATGTCCTTATACTTTTCGAGCTACATTGCAGGCGAATTATATGTAAAATCGGATGCTGAATGAAATCCCAGTATGACGACGCGCTGAAGTCGTCCGTTTTTGGGTATTAGCATTCACAGACTTTGAGACGGAAGGCTAACAATGCTCAGTTGTCGA